ACGCCCTGACCTGTCTCCGTTAAAGTTGGTTAGCGAGCGAAGATTTAGCCTGGCTGCTTAGTACGTATAAGCCGGGTTAATGGCTAACTGCTGAAAGGTGCAGGTCTACCCCTGGCTTCTTGTTCATTTTCCTGATGGATCTATGGTGTAAAACCATGGCATCGCTGTCCTCATCTTTTCCCTCTTAAAGCTGTCCGTTTTGCATCTCCCCGGGAAAACATCCCAAATATAAGTGTGGGGCTGAGTTTAATTTCACAACAGAGCTGTAGGTTGCTGGGGCTGACAGATCATACTGCAAAGTGAGGAAAGAACAAGAAATTTAGGATAAGCCTTTTGGATACTGAGTCTGAACTTCAGTGTACCAGTAAAATTTAGGGCAAGTGTGGGGGTTTTCTGGTGTTTTGTTTTGTTTGTAGTTTTTTAGGTTGGTTTTTTTTGGTAGCGATCGAAAGGTTTGTAGGTGTTGTGCTGTTTTTAGGGGACTTACGTCTGGATATAATAACCTGATCCAGAACGGGACCTTCAGCGTAGTCCTGCTGAAATGGGGCATCAGGCAACTGCTGACATGATCCTTCTGTTGTGTGATAGCATCATTCCTGTGGATACTGCTAGAGGTTGGGAAAGTGCTCTTAGGTATTCGTTTTGTTCGTTCTTAAAACTTCATTTTATATATTAGGACCTTAAATGAGCTCTGGGCTCGTAGGCCTGAGGTCTTTCTGGTAGAGGCAGAGGAACATGTGGAGTAGGGCAGCTTCTCAGTGGAGACTTCTTTGACGTATACAAGGCCTGTAGTAATATTTTATCCTTATTATGTGGACAGCCTCCTTGATTCTGCATGCACTGATTTGTTTTTTGAAGTTATAGAAATAGTAAAATGAATATTTTCTAAAATAAAAGCGGTAGAAAGTTGGCAAGGGCTATTTTTGTTTTGGGCAGTGGTTTTTTGGGAGTATCTGCCATTATTTTGTCATAATATAGGGTGCTAGTCCATTTTTGTTGTAGTTCTCCTATAAAACGTGTTATTAAAAGCACCTTCCAAACTGACTACACAAATTTTTTTACAGAGTGGTTATTAATTCATCTAACTTTAGTGATACGGGTATCTGTTTGCTAATACTGTTTGTAAACGGTTGCATTGAAGCTCATGAACTACTTAATATTTTATTACCAGCAAATAGTGCCCATGAGACTACACAATTTTTACAGAGTGGTTATTAATTCATCTAACTTTAGTGATACGGGTATCTGTTTGCTAATACTGTTTGTAAACGGTTGCATTGAAGCTCATGAACTACTTAATATTTTATTACCAGCAAATAGTGCCCATGAACTCACTCTTTGACTGAGGATGTTCTGGAGACTGGAAAAAAAATATTAATTTTATGTATTTAAAAAAATAAAACCAAGTTTCTTGTGGCTTCTACATTTCTTTGTAGTTTTTTCCTTCTGTATTCATTGTTCTTTTGCTGATAGTGCACTTCAGATAACATTACTGAAGACCTTCTCATCCCTTACATTGAAACTTAATTTTTTTCTAGCAGTTTTTCGAAGTGTGACCTACCCAAGTCTGTTGATTGGTAAGGCACTGGCAGTCAGTTTGTGATTTCTGCAGCAGAACTGCTTTTACATCATGTTTTAAATCAATTTTAGTTTGATTAAAAACTTGTATGGTGGTCATTAAGAAACTTTGAAAGTTGGTGTCTTGATGTTCCCCAAAGTCTGCGAATCAGTGCTATAAAGATTGGCTTATTTACTGAGTAGGAGTTACTATCATGTGTAATGAAGGCAAATACAGAAACTTTGTAATAATTCCAGCTTTTTAGCAAGGTGTCGTGATAAGCAGTCCCTGAAGATTCACATCATAATGCTAAAGACAGAATTGCAATGCATCTTTGTGCCTGTTTTTGTTATATAAGTGCAGTTTCACTGAAAATAAATGTCAGTAGAATTTGTGGATATTGACGATGCTTCTCAAACCTTCATTATTAAGGTGTTCTGTTTCATGCTTACACCCAAAGAGTCTACTCCCCATGTTAAAACTGTAGTTGCTAACACTTGGAGCTACAGGCAAAAAACATTCTTTGCTAATTTCAGATCCCAGAGAAAGCAGAAATTGTGTAGAATTTGGATGTCAGCCATGCTGTCTGTCTACATGATTTCCATTGACTTAATTTAGGATTGCATGTGACACTTCTGAAAATCAGGCATTTATAGCTCTAGATTCAAGACCGTTGCTTTCAGACAGATGTGATTTCTTACTACTTCTGTCCTAAAGAGCCATCACGTAGTGCAACAGATGTGGTTGCAGTCAAAATCCTTGACAGTGATGTATAGCCATTCATAAAGCACTTTCTGATGCTATGTACTGTTGACCTATTTTTACTACCACCATTTAATACGATATATATGATCATATATATATATATATCACCTGGACAGTCTTTTAAGAGAGTTGTGATTTTCTTGCACAGGTTACTATTTCTTAGGATTCATGTAGGGTCTCCACTCCCTTCTTACCCTTCTGCCCTCTTCATAAATGCTTCCCAGTTGATACTGGGAGGGGACTAGCCTGGATGTGTGAAATGCGTGTATTCATGACAATTTGAAAAATGTATATAGGGAGTAGGGAGAATAAAAGTTGCAGTTTCCTGTAGAGCAGACAGCTGATGATTCACGTATCTGATACTTTTATTTACTTTTCTGCGCAAGAAGAAAAACGTCCCCCGCAGCAACTGCAGCATCTCATGGTACCCAAGCTGCTGCTGAGATACAAAGCACCTCTTAAAACACGCAGGCTGTGGCGTTCAGAAATAAATCATCTCCAGTTCAGCTCCTTCTGGAGCTTAGTGAAGGAGTCTGTTATGCTGCAGTGGATTTTCTCGGTCATCTTTCACAATTGGGTTTGTTTTGTACATGCTGAACCCTATTTTGATCTCCATTGCTCTTGAGTTACATTAGTATACTCTTAACAGCTGCTGAGGAGTAACTCTCTTGGTTTACACTGGGGTATGAGAAATGGAGTTTTGGTCTGCTACTTAATAAACATTTCGTTTAAAGAAACAATTGCATCTAGATTTAATGTAGGAGTGCAATGTTCACGTCGGTGGAGGCTGGGGGCCTGTGCTGCTCCGTCGGGGGCAGCAGACAGTTGCCAGTTACTTGTTAATCTCAACATAAATTCACTGACATCAGTTGATGTTGTCAACTGCTGTGGGGGAAATTTTTTTTTTTTCCCCAGTAAACATGGGGGTTTTTTATATAGTGCATTCTTTTGTCAGTATAAATAAGGAAATTTTTTTTTAATGAGCTATGTTAGACATTATGGTCTGGCAAATGGACGAATAATGTGGGCACTCTTTGCAAAAAAGTGGTTTAATTAGCTGCTGCAACATTTTTGGTAGGTTATACGGTACTGACATGGCATTTGATTAGTCACAGCATGAAAGAAGGTACAAATGTCCCGAGGCACCATTTCCTCAGAAGTGGCACCGACCCCTCCGCATGCTCCTTGCTCCCCTTAGGGCTCTGACTCTGAACCTCCCAAGGTCAGCACCGAGTCCTGTCGTGGGTGGGAGCTATGGAAGATATCCTGAACGTGAAACTTCTTAATTTCTCAAGGGGGCTGGTTTTGTTGCTGCAAAATGGTTCTTCAGGGATTTGTGCCATTCCATTATAGCAAGGAGAGTCTAAATTGACCTTTTTCTGCCTCATCAGAAGTGATAATTCCAGTTGAGGCAGATGGTTGAAAACCAGTGGTGGCTATGGATGGGCTAAGAACATCTGCCCCAGCAGTAGGCAGGGGCTGGTACTTTATTCTGAGGTGAGCTTTTTAGGTGGCAAACAAAATCTGCTGTCCTGCATGCAGTCACCAGCCCTTCAGATCTTCATGCAGGAGCTTCAGTGGTACTTGTTGACTGTCAGTGAGATGGAAGGGGTGGTTTGGTTTTGTTTGTTTGCTTTTTACCAAAATATGTGGGGAGGTGGCACATAGATGCTAGAGAACGATGTGTGGAAGACAGCAAGCAGAAGGAAGCTGGGAGGGCTGTACTAACGAGTCACTGAATTGCTCGTTAAACTACATATTAAAAAAAAAAAAAGCAGTAACCAAGTGGAAAGTGAGAACTTGGGTTATGTCATAAATTGTTAGGCAGCTATTAGTTTAATTATCAAACTGAATTGTTTTCGTGCTACTTTTACTCACATTGAGTAATAACTTGCTTTAGGACTGGATTATCTGTGATGGTTATGTAGGTGTGAACTGAGGTGATGGCACCAAGTTTGCCACTTACTGCTCTTTCTGAAAGAAAAAAGCTGAACAGGTCTGCATACCTATCATGTAAGCACTTGCTGATGGCCTGTCTCTGCTCACGGACTGAGAATGAAATCTGCTTAAAACTATTACCTCGAGGACTTCTATAGGTTTTGTAGAAAAAAAAAATGACTGTGGTAGAGCTAGGACATGTTTCTGCTATTCTTGTCAGTTGTTCCAGAAGCCATGTTTGCCAGAAGCTCTTTATTAAGTCCCAATGCATGTATTCTTGTTTTTTAAAGACATTGTGGGATGAAAATTTGCGTGGTGGGTGGTCACAATCTTTTTAATTTTTTTCGTATGCTGTGGTTTTAGAGCGGTCTTAATCATCTGTGTTAAAATTGTATGCATGTGTAAGTTGGTAAAAATTAGTACCAGGGATAACAGTACTGTAGAGCCTCTTCCATATATGCATACCCTGTAGTTTCACAGTCATTTTTTTGCTTAGAGGTGTCAGAAAACTTTATCAACTTTCCATTATATAGGTCTTTGCTGTGACTGGATTCTCAAATTACTGTGCTTTGAAAGTTTAACATGCAAATTTCTGGAAAGAGATATTACTGTGTGATGCTAGAACTTTTTTTTTCTGTTATCATACCATCTGATTAGGCTTTCTTTTTTCTCTTCCTTTTCCTACAGTGTAAAAATCACTTACTGTTTATTGATAAATCTGTATTTCTTCTTTTCCAGAGATATCAGCATGAATAACATCACAAGGCTACCAGAGGATGCGTTCAAGAACTTTCCCTACTTGGAAGAGCTGTAAGTATTTCACACACGTTAAAGTTTTGCTGCAACAACACACGTTAAGTTTTGCTGCAACATCTTAAAGTTTTGCTGCAACATCAGATGGCTGCGTAAAGTGGAAGGCGGGTGGGGAAAGAAATAGTGTTGAGTTGAGCTGTGAACAGAGAAGGCAATTATACTTTAAAAAAAAAAAAATCCTGTACATGTTTGGAAACCGGAACAGTAAATGCTACTTACAAGGGACTTTTTATGGTAATTATTTTAATCATGGCTACAGTGATGACACATGCTAATTACAGCATTATCCAAAGATAACACGAGGTGTGTAATTACCATTGTTTCCGAAGGAGCTACAGTATAGTTGTTGCATAAGTTCCATAAAATATATGTTGTTTCATTTATTGAGCAGCTTGCTCCCATTGCCCCTGTAGGCTGCAGATGCAGCGCTCACAAGCCCATCCTGACCTGCATCAGAAATTCAAGTTCTGTGGTACAGGGCTTTTTGTTCTTAGTTTCTCTGGCAGAAATTCTCTCTCCAGTTCCCATCTCCCTCTTGTCCCACTCTTTTTTTAGCTTTTTTTTTTTAGGTTTTACTTAGGTGATACTTGGACTTCTGAGTCCTCGAGCTGCACTAAGACTCATGTGTCCAGTGTTTTGCTGAACTGAAGTCTTAACTGAGATGCCTTTGCAAAGTTGAAGCACCCTTTCACAGCATAGCCCTGGATTAGGTTGGGTTTCAGAGTCAATAAACAGGGAGAAGGCTTTGAATTTCAATAACTACTTTAGTAAGTACTATTATATGACAAGTGACTTCTCTGTGCCTTAGTTTCCTTATCTATGAAGAGAGGGTAATGGTTCAACCTTTGCCAGAGAGCGTTGAGAACTTCCAGTAATAAGAAATAGATAAGACAATACCACTGCAATTTGCTTTGCTTCGCTTGCATTTTCATAGTGTCAAAGTAGCATTTCTCATATCAAAGAGCATTTAAAATACAAAGTATGGCTGTCCTTATTTGTGACTTTGGCTAGACTGGAACTATGAGTGCTGTGTTGAGAGATTTTTCAATAAATGTACCTTAGGGAAAGAATAGCTCATTTCCCCAAACAGACAAAACCTTATGAAGTAGGGAAGTGTTGTTCTGACTTTACAGGTTCTGGTTTATTCCCTCCAATTTCAGGTATTGCTTAAATTTGCAATATAGTCGAGAATACTTCATGAAAGAAAATAGATTTACCAGGACTTCAGATGGTGCCTGCGTGTAATTGACACAATTTAAGAAAGGCTCTATGGCATGAGTAGTCAATTAAAAAAAAATAATGAGAGGTCTGGGGAGGCTTGCTTGGCTCAGAATATATACTAGCCAACATTCCTTATGTGCTTTATAATATGTGCTGCAGTATGTCTGTGTGTTGTTTTGTTAAACTATATTTGTAGTTCACTCTTTTCCAAATTCTTTATAATCATATTTCACACCAAAAGTTGAAAAAACAAACAATTCTGTTTTCCCAACTTCAGGTGACTGTGGGAGACTTCATTTTTTCCTTATAAGTAATTAAGCAATAAAACCTAAGTGGTGGGTGTGCATATTGTGTAACTTCCATAAACCCTGGGGTGTGTCAGGAGGTAAAGAGAAAAGGCAGAGCCTTCAGCCATCATCTGCTGTGCTTATGGCCTAAGAGCCATTTGCTACGTGTACATCAATGTCCCCCTAAATTCCAGCATTTCAGTTTGCAAAAAAATAGGCTAGCATTGAGCTCAGAATTATATGTGAACACCCAGAAGCTTTAAATCATTCCTAGCATGCTTACTTGATATGTTAAAGCGACTTCTGAAAAAAAAAAACACCCACAACCAAAACCCAACAACTTTACAGTAAAAATGATACTTGCCAAATGTTTGGACATATTAGAATCAGTCATAATTCCTTAGTACAATGGAAAAATACAGTTTTCATTTTATGTTCGAGTTACCTCCTACAGCTGCAGTGGTAGGAGAATCTCCAGAAAGATTAAAAAGAAAAACTCTCTCCAATTCAACAGCTATCACGGATGCAGAAAGACAGGAAAACGACCGTGAGAGCAGAGCCATAAGTAGGCAGTATCTATGTACAGTACTTCTCAGTTGAAAACCATTAACCGAGACCTGTGAGTCGTTCGTAATGTTTCGCAGCAGCAGCCTGCTTTGACTTTGAAGCCTATTTGTAGAGGCTCTGGCCATGCCCACTGGCAGTGAAATGAGGAAGGTTTCTTCCTTCTCTGTAAAGACCTGGTTATGGTCATCTGTGCACAAGTCAACTCCAGGTTCCCTTGCTTCAGTTCACGTTCTTCCCAGAGGGAATATAATAGACTAAAGTAGATGCGAACAAAAGCAGCTTCCCTCAATAGAAATGACCAGCACCAGATGTGACACGTTTTTGCCTCATTCTGCTCATTCCTTTTTCTCTCTGGGATAAGGTACAGAAATTTTTCAGTCTTTTATTTTTGCTGGTTGTGGACAGAAAAAAACAAACTGTCATACTTCCCACTGTACAACCACAATTTTCCCTCTCCACTCTAAGATGATTTTCAAACTTTCTTCCTGGCTTCTATTTATAGTTGAACAGATCCAAATTCTGACTGCCAGGCACTAGCAAATTTGCTTTTTCAGCACAGAAACCTGGGTGTTCCATGCCAAAGAAAAAGAGACAGAGTTAAAGCAAAGTGGTGTTGAAATCTGTGCTAGAAGTGACGTTTCCATCTAGAACTTTTTTCCCAAGAATTACACGCCTAAAGCAAATGAAAATCCCACAGACTTAATGGGAATGCAGTAAGTACCTACACCACCACAGACTCTAGTAGCTCTTCATCCAGGAGACAGCCCCAGACACCTTTCTCTTTATACCATGCTCTACCTCTGCCGTTTGTCAAATGCTCCGGGCGATTAGCCCCTGACAGACTTAGTTAATTAATATTGCAAAATAGTATCACAGAATTTAATTGAATGTAAATGGGAGGCAATTAGATGTATTACGTAGGCAACTGAGTCTTATGCAGTGCACGTATAGAGAGTATGGCATTAAAAAATGCAGTAGGAGTAATTTAAAATGGGGGTTGTCATTTTCTTAATGCAATGAATTACTTGGTAGTCTGGAGAGACATCAGAGGATCGTTTTCCGAGTCCTAAAATGAATACTAGCGAATAAAAGTTGAAAGAAGCAGCGTACCAGACTTGAAAAAGCTGGCTGCTCGATTAAAAGGTGCCTTCTATGTCACCGAAGGGGGAGCGACCCGGGTGCTTCAGTGTATGCATCCTGTGCCGTTTTCAGATGTGCTGGGTTATCCGAGACACCTGCACAAGACTGGCAGGTCTGACACAGATGGGAGACCGATGGCCGCCTGGAGCGGCAGGTGGGGGCGGGTGGGGGGGGGGGGAAGCAGCGTACCAGACTTGAAAAAGCTGGCTGCTCGATTAAAAGGTGCCTTCTATGTCACCGAAGGGGGAGCGACCCGGGTGCTTCAAGTGTATGCACCTGTGCCGTTTTCAGATGTGCTGGGTTATCCGAGACACCTGCACAAGACTGGCAGGGCTGACACAAATGGGAGACCGATGGCCGCCTGGAGCGGCAGTTGGGGCCGGGTGGAAGAGGGCATCTGAAATGGCACTAAATGGCTGTGTTTAGGGAACTGACTCCCCTGCGAAGTATCAAATTTGCAGGTATAATCTGAGGGTTTTGTACCTTTTGAGATAGTGTCCTACCTGAGTATTACTTGCAGGTACAAGCAAAGGGATTCCAGCTTGTCTGTGGGCAGAATCCACCCGTTGGGTTATGTGCTCCACGTGCCCCTCTTCACAGCCTCATCGTGCGTGTCACTGCAGTTATCATGTGTCTGTAGGATTCATGCACTATTTATAAATGTTATAAAAATTCTCCATCTCTGTGTAACTGATACCCATCTGGAAGTAATTTGCAAATGATTGAGACGGCAATGGTCAGAGTCAGTGAGGAGCAGACCACCAAGGGTTTTGCCACAGCAGTTAATGAAGTGTATTCTCCAGAAAATGTTAATGTAAATATGCTGCAGCCCTGAACTTGATATGGAGACTCTAAAAATCCTTGAAGAACTTGGCCACAGTTTTCTAACCACACCTTAAAGTATTTATAGAAAGCTAGAAGAGGGAAATATAGTCAGATAATGCAGTGTTTTTAGAAAGCAGAAACCATTTTCCAGTGTGAATTTTTAACTGGAAGAGCCAGGCTGTGTTATGTTTTGATGCTCTTCTAAATGGTTGCAGTTCCTTCTAATATTTAAAGTTATCTAAAGCAGTCTGAAGGATTTTAACTATATGATTTCCATTCACTATATTTGTGAATGATCTGCTGGATTAATTAAAAAGACACTCTCTCATCAAGGAAGGCAAATCAAAATGATTTTTATTCTTGGCTGGTTTTCCAGTCTGGCTTCAGAAACCCAAACCACTCGAATAAAGCAAAAGTCTCCTTGACTTAATGGCCTTTTAATCTTGTTTTGATTTCCACTCTTAACCTTTTAAAATGTTGTTGTCTTATTTACCCTGCACTGATGGGTAAGGTTTAGATGATAAGGTTTTGGCTGTCTGGCTGCGGGTTTGTGTGAGAGCTGGTGGGAAGGCAGAGGACAGCAACCTGTCCTGCTGTCCGTCTGTAGGTTGCCTGCAACCTACACAAGCACACGGTTGTCCGAAGGGGAGCACCGGTCACCTTCCAACCGGTCAGCCTCAGGGCAGGGCTCTGACCTTCTCCAACAAGGGTTAGGGAGGATGCTCTCTGACTGTTGGGGTTTTGAAGACCATATCATGCCCAGTAATACTGCAAGGAAGATAATCAATCCTGAAGGCGCCAAGAGACAGCAGTGCTCGATTATCCTCCCGATGTATGCTGATGCCAGGGTCTGTTGTATTTCTGGTTTTTGTTCATAAATGATATGAAACAGTCTCTCTTCTGTGACGCTACCCTCAGATATTTTTTTTTTTTTTTATCAGTCAAGGGCAAACTTTA